ACCTCAGTGTCCCTCGCCCATAGTCACAACACTATGGTCAGGAGATACGCGCTCGCACCATACCATATACGCCCCCCCCCCACCATGACCTCACACGCGCGATGGATATAAAAACCCACCGCGTGCCAGGAAGCCAGAGTAGTCTTAGCCAGTAGTCTTAGTTAGCCAGTCTTAGCCATGCAGTTAGTAGTCGCAGTTAGTTAGCCTCAGTCAGTTAGTCTTAGTCAGTCACGTAGCCACACGTAGTGAAGAAGTAGAAGAACTTATATGTGTTCTAAAACATTACCTAGTCTGTATTTAGTGATTCTCTGAGCGAATAAAACCATCTAGTCTGTTACAACTAATACGTGTTATCTCTACTGTGAAGTTATTCGCTACTCGCCTTACGTCGCACAAGAGGCAAGTCTGACATTTCCTTCAAGCGGAAACGCAAGCACGAACAGAAACAACGAGTGGAGACGAATACACAACGCAAGGTTCATAACATTACGACCTATATGATCACGTGCCTACACACAGTCGGGCATCTCCCGACGTGCTGTACGAACCGTCTATAAGTATAACACTGATACAACCCACATCTCATGTACGATAGCAGAGAGAGGAACTATGATACACGACTACACTTGGACTATTGGAATTGACATGACTATGCATTCATCTAGTTTTCCTCTAGTTATGTAGACAAAAAAATGCAGCATAAATGAGCTCAATGCATACGTGTCGGTGGTGATTTTGATATTTTGACACTGGTCGTTACGGTGGTGATTTTTGACTGTTACGGTGGTGATTTTTGACTGTTACAGTGGTGATTTTTGACCTTTTCCATCTCATGATCAGATCAGGGTGACTTCAAGGTTAATATCAACCCTGTTTAGAAGATTTCTACAAATTTGTAGTAAGGAAGCAACCATAGCCATTCGAGTCGAAAAGACAATATTACCAACACCTTGGATGGACTTTTATGGACTATGACTGTGTCGGTGGTGATTATTGACATTAGGTAGGAATCACGACCCAACGATCAACGCCCATTCGGGGGTTGCCATCCATGTGTATAACATTCGGATAGCAGCCCTATAAAACACTAGCATGATGAATCCAGTTTATTTCTACATGAACAGAAGTAGCTTCTGGAATTGCCTGGCTTGGGGCAAAATAAACTTTTGATGTGTCGGTCGTGACTCTTGACTTACAAATCACACGCACGCACGCACGCACGCACGCACACACAGTGTTTGTGTATGCGTGTGTGTGTGTGTGTGTATATGTGTTTATGCGCGCGCGCGTGCGTGCGTGCGTGCGTGTGTGTGTGTGTGTGTGTGTGCGCGCGCATTTGTGTGTGTCGTGTGTATGTGTGTGTAGCGCGTGTGTGTGGATGTGTTTTTTGTGTTTGTGTATGCGTGTGTGTGTGTGTTTATGCGCGCGTGTGTGTGTATGTGACACACACACACGCATACACAAACACATACACTACACGCACATACAGACACTACACGCACGCACGCACGCACACACACACACGCACAAACATGCGCATACACACTAACTAAAAAAATAAGATAGCTTGTAAGAGTATTATTAGAGGTCCGTCTGAACGTTGTACGTTTTACGTTTACGGTTAAAAATCAGGAGTTTCTTGACAGCGGGCGACTTTTTTGCGGGCGCTATCTTGACGTGTCAGTGATGCCTTTCTTTTTCAAGTTTTTGGTGGCATTAGCTGGGGACTTGTTATAACCAATTTTTTGCCGTGTGGAAAGTTTGACTTATGTTATAAGGAAATGCGCTCCATTTGGGAAACAATTAATGTAAAAACAATGTATAACATTTCTCTGGTTAGATTAGATACTTAAATTGATTAAATTGAGCGACTTAGAAAATCTTAGATAGAGCGCCTTTGGTTATACATTGTTTTTTTACATTGCCATTGTGTTTTCGTGTTGTGACGTTGCACCGCGCTTGGTGCAAAAATTTCCCACTATTTTAACGTTTTTGAACGTGGAATGTGAAAAAAATGAAATTGTGAAATAAAAAATAGCCCATGCAACGTGTCATGATCTGTAGAATGTTCCGACCAAGTTTGGAAAGGATCCGTTGAGCGGCGCGGAAACGTATAGCCGGACACACACACGCACGCGCGCGCGCGCGCACGCATGCATGCACGCACGCACGCACGCACACAGAAAATCCCCAATTTATAGTAAGATATATATATCAGTAGATAATAGGAAATGTTATTCCCTATTATCTACTTCTGATATAT